TTTGTTGTTTTTTGTTAGGTTGGTTAGGTAGAGACGGTTGTAATTGTTAGCTATGTACTGCTGGGCTGTTGGCATAATTCCTTTATTTATGTTCAAATTACCATTATTTACCATTATTGTTTTGATTATCATTATCATCCTCAGTCTCATATTCATCATTAATATCATCCATACTCATCATTATCTTTATCACGCCATCATGATTGCCGTTCCCTTTTCTTAATATCTCTAACATTTCCTCTTGTACCGTCAACTTCAACACAATTACATTATTACTGTCATTACCTCGTCGCTAGTTTCATTGCAATCATCACAAAAAAGTATTGCCATTATCACTATCACAACTATAATGAAAAATCCATGTTCATGAACAGTTATAGCAGCTCTTTTAATCATTCTAAAAATATATATATATACTTCTCTCTCTCTCTCTTTTTTTTTTTTTTTTTTTTTTTTTTGCCAGACCGCATCAAGGGCATATCCGAAAGATTAATAAAAATAAAAAAAGATGTCCTTCACATTGCATTGAAGAACGAACAAAGGCTACGTTTAGAGATGTTTTTTTTTTTTCTTTTTTTTAAGGGCGTATTGCGTAAACATACTTGCAATACAAAACGTTCATAATTCTATTGTTAAGGTGTTAAATAAACAGGACAAAAGGGAACAGGTAGTGGGAAAATTTGGCGGGAATTCGGCGATGTGGGAAATGGGAGACAAACAGACATTTTTTTTTTTTTTTCGTTGCAATTAATATAGCGTAATAAATCTGGTAAATAATAACCTCTAGTGTTAAAATGTGTTTCCCCAAGGCAATTTTCTCTTTTGTTTTTGATTTATCGGTTAAAGTAAACAGATTTTTCTTTTTGTGGATTACGTTATAAGAGCCTAGATCAAATCTGGGTTTGTTCGTTTGTATGTAGTTTAGATCAACCAACATTACGTTTTTTAGATGCTCCTTCTCCACCTGTTCTTTGTTGAGTGATTAAATTGCATGCTTTTTGGGTCTCGATTTCTCTCTCTCTCTCTCTCTCTCTCTCTCTCTCTCTCTCTCTCTCTCTCTCTTTCTCTTCTCTTCTTTCCCTCTCTCTCTCTCCCTCTCTCTCTCTCTCTCTCTCTCTCTCTCTCTCTCTCTCTCTCTCTCTCTCTCTCTCTCTCTCTCTCTCTCTCTCTCTCTCTCTCTGCCCTAATTAGTGTGATATGATATGATTATAAAAACTAATAATGATGACATCAGTATTGACCCTGATAGTAATAGTAGCAGACGATAATGCTACATAGGATGGTTTGTTGCCATGATGCCTTTCTCTTGCTGGGGGCGTTCTAACTATATATATTTTAGGACCCCTTGTTTTATTTGGTCTGATAAATCTCGTGAAAATTGGCGTTTTATTGGACGTTTGAAATGTTCAGATTGATATATGATTCTCTGATTTGAAACATTCTGAATATCGTTACGTTTTAAGCAAGCTGCGCGGTCGCCCATTGGCATTGTTCGAAGCTTTCGTGCATTGTTCCTCCACTTTCAGTTAACTTGACTCACGATTATTTTTCTTCGTAGATTTCAAGGCTACTGGTTATTGTCTGCGTTCTTTTTTAAACAGGAAGGCATAGTCTTCATTTTGTGGCATTCAGATTTTTGTTGGCAAATTTGTGTCTTTTACTTTCACCTTTCAGATCGGCCTTGGTTTGTTATTTGTGGGTAAAATTGTTTCAGTTCCTCTCTTATTATTAATTGGCCAAAATTACAAACGTTTTCAGGATCTGGTTGATGCATTATATAACCTCAGTCAGGGACCTAGGACTGAACCCTGCGGAACACCACCACTTAGTCCAGTCTAACTCGATACTCCTACTTTTTTTCACACATCTATATTAGGAATTTACCTCGGGATTACATAGCTTTTAAGCCTAATGAATAGCGTGTTTGAGAGTAGATCTCGATCACTTATGTAAGGTGATCGACCCTGTTCTTATCGAGTAAGTTTTTTCCAAGTTTGAATAGTAAGGCAAGACCTGCTTTTTATCAGTCAGTGTTGACTGTTATAAAGGTCGGCATTGTCTTCGTAATGAATTTCTATCTTCCGTGGCTTAACAAGTAACATTTAATTTTGAGATTAAAGTTTAGTACATTCTTTTAGTTACTTATTTTCTAGCTTCTTTTACATTTCTAGACTACTAGACTGAAGTGAAGCAGCGTGTACAATTATTATGCAATCACTATTCATTAATATAGGAATGTGACTGTCATTATTCGAGAGAACATGTTTAAAGAAAAGGCAGATGATTATATGGGTACGTCGATGTTGCAACAAACCGCACAAAAAAAGAATCCGATACTTTCCACAATTTTTCGCAGTAGGAAAAAATAAGTTGCCTATTTTTGTTGTGTCCTTTCCAAGCCTTGTCGGATCGCAACGCCCTCTGTCTTCCTTTCTCTTGTTTTTCTCATGCGGGTAAAGGAGCGACGGCACATTTTTGCGGCCATTATATGCAGAGGCAGGGAAGCGATAGTGCATTCTGCGCTGAGGTGCCTCGTGACCTGCTGACGAGCGCGCCTGACCCTCGCCCTCTTATACTTTCACTGGAGCCGAGTTGCAAAGTTGCCGAACGCCACTGAATGGTTTTGAAATGCGAAACAGACGCCCGCGCTGGCGTGCATACAGAACCACACACATGCTTATATAGAGAAAAACACCACACATCCACGCCCACATCCATTAAAACACACTCATATGCACAGTACATACACACACAGACACGCAAATGCACGTAAACAGAAGCACACACACACACCTCTTCCTCGCAAACTCTGGAACACGACACCGTGGCAACATCACCCGAAGACCCGACAGAGGACTATAGCAATAGAGCGAGAAAAAAATCCCCCCCCCCTCACTCGAAAATATAACACGGTCTTTCCCTCTCGCTTCTTCTGTGTCGTAAGCCCCTAAGGTTTCCGTGTTAGTCAACTTGTGGAGCGTGACGTGATGCGGTGAGCTGTGTGTGTGTGTGTATATATATGTATGCATGTTTCGTCTTATTCGTGATCGGGGAGGGAGAAGATAGGGTGGGGGAGTGTGGGGGGGGGAGATCATTGTACATTTAACCATGCCTCTCGCAAGTGTACACGCAAGCTGTATCTGTGTGTGTGTGTGCATATTTACTCGATTTTTCTCCACGCCAGCTGAGGCTTGTCCGTA